TATGAGATCCTTTTCACCAGAGATATTTTAATGTCCCTACTTTGGATGCTTTGCACCTAACATTGGCATGTTTTAATCTCAACTTATTTTCCTTTTACTTGTTACTGTTTTCAGAAAACTGAATTAGATAAAAGTCATATTTAACCACTTTGGCAAATTCAGTAGATGCAGTTGCTCTTATTTTTCCATCAGCCTGACTTGTAACCTTTTGGTTTGCATTCGCTCAGATGAAAATATGAGCAGGGCAAGTTAAAATATACAATTGCAGATTCTCATCAACACAATTGTTAATCTCATGAATTGACTCAGTGGCTTTTCCTCCTGCCATGCAATTACAGTAAATATTCCCCAGTATGATTATAATGTCAATTTTTAAAAACAATCACCCATAGAAAATGACTCTCCAGATGTTTTAGAATATAATCCAAAATATCAACAACTGGGATTGACAGGAGTTATGGTCCAACACATCTGAGGAGGCAGTTGAAAATGACTGTTATGTAGCCAACTCATTGTTTTCTATATTCCTATAGAAATAATATCTGATGTGAGTATACAAACCTCAAATATAAAATATTATCTGGTATAACAGGTAAAATAAATATTTCAGCTCATTGAATTATACTTATTTTACTTTTTCAACAATGTGCATTTTGAAAATGGATGCCGAATCAATGCCATCTAGTGGCTGTAGCATTCTGACCACACTAGTTGGTGTTTCAGTAGTTAGCCTTTCAGCATCATTGTTCCTTGTAAACAAGCAGGATAATGCATGAAATCTACTCCTTAAAAGAAAGTTTCTCGCTGAACAGATGGAAGAAAATACATTATTATTATTGTTCATTGCACAGTCAGCCAAATGTTGAGCCTGGATTTGGCATTTTTATCACCTATCACATCCTTCCAAAAGACCTCGTCTAGGCAGATGTTGTTGTTTGATGTTGTTAAAAGTATTGTTGCAGGATGAAAGTTGTTCCAAGTACAGATGCTTTTTGCAATTGCAATCTCATTTCCACCCAATTCAGGCAACCCTAAAAATGCTACGATTTGCAAATAGATAAACATTTGGGAAGTACTTTGTAACATGTGATTATTTTAAATGCTATTTGAACATTAGAACTATGCTTAAAATAATACGAGATCACTCTACAATTACAAATATTATATAGGCAGCTTTACAGAGAGTGGAGGCTCTTACCTTCACTAGTGATCAAAGGTCAAGCTGTGATCTGAAGCTTTTCACCATACTATTCTTCATGTCTAGACTCATCAGTTATCTAGTATCTAGTGACATCTTCAAAAAGTCTTCTTTCTGTGATTGTACTTCATAAATTGCATCCACCTCATTTGTTACAAACACATTCAGACATGGAAAGTAATATTTATAGTAGCACCCATTGTGAAATTAACTAGGTGATGCAACATAATTATTTTTGCATGAAAAACCAAATGAGATGTAATCCAGATAAGGCAGTGCAGTTATAAGATTACCCAATCCAAAAAGTTTGCATCCTCCATGCTTTTAAATATATTCTGGCAATGGACATTTCATTTACATACATATTTGGAAATCAAGACAACAAAGGTGATAGTAGGATGTTAGGCTCTAGACATCTTGATTATGTTTAATACTGAATTGTAATGATGCTCTCATTATGAAAGTGTTTATCATGAGTTCACAAAGCATTTATAAGGTTGAAGCTGAAAGATATTACAAAAAAAGCTGCTAGGAGTTTGTACACAGGCAGAATTTAGTTAACCGATTTGGCACTTGGCCACTGTGCTAAATTTAACAATCCTTTTTCAATGATGAGGGTAATTTTCTAGTCACATAAAAATATCTTTGCAGTTGCTGCTTTCTTGGAAAAAAAATACCCTAATGTGAAAAAAGTATCCACCTACTAATCTAGAATTCTTCTGTACTTTATTTAGATAACTCATTGAGAATGACTCATTGGCTGAAACAAGCAGGAAATTCTGCCTGGTATCTTTGCCTTCCTGGCTCCCTTTGGTGTTAATCATCTGCCTCGTCACAACAATACATCCCTCCCCCACTTAAATTATAATTACATACATTTTTTTCTCCCCAGCTTTATTTTTTCTACAACTAAGAATTCTGTGACATCTAATATTTATTGAGTAGAGTTTATCTGATAGACACATGGAGCTTAAAGGTCTTTCAGAGCAAACTGTGAGAATACATAAACAAGTGTAACAAGACAGCAAATCAAAACAAAAAGGAATTCTCCTTTGTAAGTGGAGATCTGTTCCATCTAATACATAGTGATGATGTTCTAAGCTATTGCTTTGACATTATTAACTGAATATTGTTGTTGAATCATAAATGATAATGCCAATTGCAAATGACACTACTTAGCCATGCTTCAAATTTCAAGCATTCCCTAAATAATACTAACCATGATATCAAAAATAACTTATACAATACAATCAGAAGGTTATTACAATTGCCAAAATGTCAAAAATCTGCAGACAGATGGCACTCTTTCCTTTTTATTAGGAAATCCTTATTCAAGTGCAGCAATGAAACTGGAGGTTGTAACCCTTTTGTTAGAACTGGGTCATTTGCTGAAATGAATTAGAAAATGGGAATAGTGCCATCTTTAATCAGACTACAAATCCATCCAATCCAATCTTCTGTTTCTGCAATAGCCTATCACTGTGTCTGTTGACATACCACAGCAGTACATGAGAATGATAGCATACCTAGAAATTATTATCAAAAAGCTCAACAGTTGGAAGCAGACAGTATTCATGACTTCATCATCATTGCAAATCTTAACTTTTCTGAATTTGTATAAAGTCAGATGGGCAGCCCCTACTGCAAGTGATTCTGACAGCCCCTACTGCAAGTGATTCTGCAGTTGTATTATGGAGTTTGTAAATATATCTTTCATTTTAGTGGTTTGGTTCTCCTTCCTTTATGCTAATGGATGTAGACAACAGCATTTGTGTAAATATGATTTTGATAATGAGCCATCAAACTGGTGTTGATTCTTAGCAACTACATTCTCCATGATGATCTGTCTGCAACCCAGCCCTTCAGGGTTGGATGTACACACCATTGTTTTAAATTGATCTTGTCCTCTTATGTTTCCTTTCACCATACCTAGCCTGTCAGACTTCTTAGCCAAGGTTAGTCATGTGTAAAAGTATGATAAATTGTCTGTTCCTTGAGTGAGAACTTTTGATTGATTTGTTCTGTGATTGATTTGTTTTTTTTTTAAGTTGGCTATCCATGGTTTTCTTAGGAGCTTTCTCCAATATCAAAAATTTCCAAGTATCAATATACTTTCTCTCTTTATTCTTCAAAATCTAAGTTTTACTTCTCACAAGAAAAAAAAAACCCATTACATTGCTTTCTACATATAGACACATCCCAGCAACTGAGTATTTTTTGCAATGCCTTCCAGGCTATTGTATCAAGCGCTAGTATATAGCATATTTATTGATTGTAGAATCCTTTTAATAGATCTTAAAAGACAGAAGCTATCCATCACTTCTATATCTTCACTGTCAGTTCTAAGCTAGTTGATGTAGTTTTTGTGATTGGTTTGGTCCTGTTTATATATAATCTTAATCCCATGTTATTCATTTCATGAAGAGTGAATATAGTTACTAGAGTTTTCAGATTATTTCCATGTTTCATTATTAGAATAGGGTCATGAGCATTACGCAGGTTATTGAAGTTTCTTAGTCCAATTTTAAAACCATAAAGCCTCCCTCAACATATATTCAGCATATAATTGTATAAATAAGAAGATAGTTTTGTCTCCCTCCCTTGTTGACTTGGAACCAATCTATTTTGCTATGTTCCATCTGTTTTGTGACTTCCTATCCTGTTTCACATGATGACAATAAGTTATTCTGGGTTTCCCATTTTACTAAGGACATTCCACAGCTTGACATAATTTCAAAGGATAGAAAAATGCTTAGCATCATCCATTGCAGATTAGAGCCCTACGTGGAAAGACAGATGGCAAGCTGGTTTTAGTACAGGCAGAGCAACAAGAACATTATTGCTGATGCATACTGGAGAATCGAGAAAGCCAAAAGTACATCAAAAAGAAATTAATATGTGCTTCATTAATTATAGATTATAGTAGTTTGGACAGAAATTTACTCTGTTGCCTTTGAACTCCACTAAATGGCAGTTGTGAAATTGAGGTTGTATTATATAAGAGTTGTTCTAATCCCTTCATATATTCACCCTTTATATTTTAAATTTTAAGTACATTCATATCATGAACATGTTCCCATGTTTATTTTTCCCAGTTCCCAATGGTGAATCTATCATTTTCACATGTGAGTCAGTATTATCAAACTGTACACCCCAAACTCTAATATCAAAATCCTTTTCCTGGTCAGTCTCTACTAATTAAGCATATATATATTTATGATATTTTTTAAAAAAATGGTTTTATTACAATATATATCAGTTTACACATACATCAAATATATTTGCTATCTTCATTCCAACTATGATTTGGTGGTATCCACAAATTCCTTAGTGCTCTTTTCTAATTCCAGATTCATATCGGAAAGCACATAATATGTTAGCACAGAGGGAAATTAAAGGGTCACTTAGTTTCTATAATTTCTGTTCTGATTATAAGGATCAATTTCTTAAATGAATATTCTGCCTACTTCATTAACCAAATGCATACATAATGCTACCCTGTTCATTGTATTTTATAGTATGTACATATGGTTAGTCTTGAAGAGTAATGATTGTATAATTATATTTTTACTTAACTATCTCTCAATGCTTAATTTAGAAACTAAGCTATAGGAAAAGGGTAGAATTATATAAATATTATATTCCTTATCAGGGATACATGGAACTTCATATCAACATATGACATAGCGCCAGTATGATCTAGTGAGTAAGGCACCAAGCTAGAAATCAAGAAACTGTGACTTCTAGTCTCACCTTAGGCATGTAGGCTGACTGGATATTGGGCTAGTCACTCTCAGCCCAACTCATGTCACATATTTGTTGTTGTGGGGAAAATAGAAGTAGAAAGGATTATTATCTGCGCTGCCTTGAGTGATCTATAAAAATAATAAAGACAGGATAAATATCTAAAAGGTTAACTCTTATTATAATCTACGTGCAAATAATGCTTATCCTGAAATTTAAGTAGAAAATGTCTATTTTGCAATACAACTTCCACACTTTCATGAATTTTAGTATAGATTCTTTATGACTACAATGATATATTTGTTGAAGAGGCAAGAAGAGGAGAAGATGGTAGTTTTTTAACTAATCAAATAATTGCAAATGATCTTACATACAATAAATGTACAAGGACAATTATATATTTTTTACACTTTGAAATGAGGTAACTATGGTTTTAGAGAAGATGGGTGGGGGAAAATAAGGACCTAATTTTAAGGGCTTCAACTTTCTGACAGAAACCCTGCATGCTTCCCCAAGTTCTTTAAATATAAGTATTTCATTTTATTTTGCATCTGTTTATAACTGAGAGATATTTGAACTAGTGAAAATAAAATAGAGGTTGCCCATCCAAAGTTTAATGAATAAAATTAAGATATATAAAAATAAACTAAGGAGTTGACAATAAAGCCTGGCATTCTTTTATTGCAGTCCACTTTTCAGTGAGTGAAGATAAATTTCCCATTAATTGGTAAAATCCACATTCTGGATAGACAGGACCATTGGTTTGAGAAAGGGGTAAAAGAGGCCATTCATGTTAACATTGAGCAGCCCTGTCTCAACAGAAGGGGAGGGATAAGACACCATCTATCTCCTTTCTACAGTCCTTTCAGCAGTTCCAAGAAGATTCCACCCCCATTTGCACTCTGATACAGGTGAATCTGAGGGCATAGATAAACCCCCAAGTGGCCTGAAGAGCTCTCAGGGAGAGTGCAAAGACCAGATGACTGCAAAGAATTATGATCCTTCCAACAAACCCCCCCTCCCATCCTTGTCTAAACTAATCCCTCTACAGCCCCCACCATCCTCCCAAAACCGATGAAGCTTCTTGGATGAGAAGCAAAATGTCTTCTTCTTCTTTCTAAAGAAAAACCATTCCGGTTGCTTTTTGAAAAAGCACCTTTGAGACAACATGACCTGCAATTATCTGCTTGTCTATTAACTCACTGCATTAAGAATCACTGTCATGTCTTAATTACTGCATGTCCTAGAGAAATACAACAAAACCCTCCTCACCCCTAGGCAAAAGAGAAATAAAATAAATAGCTTACATCCTTATCCTCCAGATCTGGATTTTTATATTTGGTTGTCTGTACAGTATACAGAAAATCACAGCAGTTGAAGTTTCTTTATTATGGCCAAAGGTCAAAAACCTGCAAATGTTGAAATAATCAAATTTCTTTTCTTTTTTTTAAAAAAGAGCCACAATAAATATATTAATTCTATGCAATTATATTTGTATGGATTTAATAGTCAATATAAGAATATTTAGAAAGTTTACATTAGATTATATCATTATTTTTGACAGTAACTATTGGAGACAGAACAAATTCAAATATATATTGTCCAAAGTGTCTTTATAAAAATACATTATAAGAAAAACATGAGCTATAATTTCCATAAAGCTCATATTGCGCGAAGGGTATCATCATATGATATTTTCTTATATTTCCTTTCAGTATAGCTGTTGGTGTCATATTAAAGTATATTAATGGCATAGCTCTCTTGTATTCTGATATTTCAATTAGATTTAAATATGTGGCCTGACTGGAACTAATAGCCTGACAACTGAAATAAATCCTCTTGAGAGAAAAGTTTGTATTTCTTGCTCTCTCTACATAAACTGTGACTCCGCCTGGACAAAACTCAAGGTAATAAAACTTCTGATGAATATCAGCCTCAGCAGAATAGAACTTCTTCATTTGGAGATATGTTATCTGGTAAAACTAAGAAAATTAAACTAGTAAGGAAAAGTAATAATTTCAAGTACTAACTGAAGATGTTGATTTGTATCATAATTTTTATTCTTGACTTAGAATATAAGTCAAGACTTAGAACCACATTTTGAACACAATAAGATTAACTGGAGTATTTTGTACTAAAACTGTGACTGCAACGACACAAAGGCTTTGATATTATTAAGGGACCTTGCCTGATGTCTATGAAACAGCTTGCATTTAATCTTTGGCTGTAAATAATTTAATTGATAGGACATTCAGAGCATCTACAAATCAATAAAACATTTTTATGGTCAGAGTTGACTTTTGTCTGCTTGGGGGCATGAAAGAGTCAAAATCCTAGCTGAATTTTTTTATGGCTTTGTAGGGAGAGCTACAAAGCCCTCAGATCACCTTTCCCTTTGAGAGGGCTGCTCGAGTGGAAGCTGGAAAATGTGGTGACACAGGACTCCCTCCACATGGAGAATTGGATTGACCACAAGATTCCCCAAATCTCAATATTTCAAAGAAAAGATCAGTTTTCCTCAATTTTGAATAATTCACTGCCAAGCCAGGAAAAAAAATGTCTCAGCTTTCTGATGTAAGCAGTAGTGTACGATTGTAGAAGTCCAGACAAAGTTGCCTGTGAAGTGCCCTGCCTCTCTACTCCTTTGGAAGCTTTTCTGAGGAACCATTTTGATGTATCTGACATATATTCTTCAATATACAGTAGTCTTTAACGTGTTACCTGGAATTAGTTTTAGTCAAATGTCACAATTTATGGTTTCCAGAAAATTTACCTTGTTATGCCATTAAAGAAAATATAACAAGGTAAAAGTCTAACAATGTTTTAGGCAGAAATCTTGACAGATGAATTTGATGAAAGATTTTAGTCCTTCATGACAACTTACCCTCTGATGAAGGTCTCGCTCTTGAAGGTGCCACAAGCTTATAAATTGTTGTAAATTCTGATGTAGCACTTCAGGTTCTTGCAGATTAGATGTCTCTTTCAAGGAGAAAAATAATTCATGTAAAAGAATTGATATAATCTTCTATTTTGTCTGTCAAATCACAGGGCAATCAATTGGAAAAATTATCCCGATGGCTGAAATGGGAAGCTGTTAACTCATTTTCATGCAAATAGATGATTAAATGGACCCCAGTGGAAAGAAGGGGAATTAGATGCATAAATTGTTGCTGTGGATACTCAGCAGCAAAGCAGAATTACCAGCCATTCCAGTTATGGGACAGGACTACAGAGCAGAAATACAGCAACAGCAGCCCAGAAAAAAGAATCTCTTGGGTAACACTTTATACTGATGTTTCATCTCAAAACCTGAATATCTCCAGAGTACTTAATAAAGTGTGAAATGTCTTGAGTTCTTAATAATCAACAAAAATGATTATTTTCTGTTTTATGTGGACAATTTTGTAGGAGCCAAGGGTTAGATTTGGCTGCCAGGAGTCAAATGGGCCAAACAAAAATTAAAATGTAAGGGGTTTTTATATTTTGTTAAAAATATTTAACAGAATTGCTCTCGACCCATTAGTTACATTTTTTTCATTTTCACTCTAAAAATGGGAATTGGGAATAAATATGAGATATAGTGCAATGGTGGCACAGTGATTACAATGCAGTACTGTAGGCTAACTCACTGATCACTCCAGGAGTTCAATTCTGAACACTCAAGGTTGACTCAGCCTTCCATCCTTCCGAGGTCAATAAAAAAAGGACCTAGATTGTTGAAGGCAATATGCTGACTCTGTAAACTGCTTAGAGAGGGCCGTAGAGCACTATGAAGCGGTATATAATTCTAAGTGCTATTGCTATTTCTGTCTTTTAGGGGCCTGGAGTTGCTTGTGCTATATAAAGGCACTTCTGTCAAGAAGCATGTGAATTCATGTTCATGTACCTTTCTGGCATATGCATGGTTCTCCATTCATTGTTATGGGTGTGACCCACCCATAATATGCATGGGAATATAGTAAAATGTGTGGCAATGTGGATGGATAGTTATAATACCTTTTCCTGCAATAGTTACTTGGTAACTGAAATAATTGACTTTCATATGCAAATCAGTTTCCTCTTTTCTAATGGCACCTTCATTTTGCCTGGAGTTAACTCCAAACTCACTTTTTCTCATCCAACACACACTCCACTCACTGAACTTAGGCAATGTTGACTGGTTTCCCATCCTCACCAATAGTAGTGCTAGTGCAAACTGGCCACTGTCATAGTGTAAATTCTGTCAGGACTGTGGTGCTATAAATTATATAAAAAAGGAATATGTGCTGCATATCATTAATCACAAAGTCATTTTATAATTCCTTCAGCAAACATAGTCTAAAGGCAGCTATAAGGGCATGGAGTTTGTGCAAACTCCTAGATTTATATGTCACATGCAATGAGGAGTATGGAAGCAGCAGCAGTTTTCTCCAGTAAAACTGCACTGAAACCGTCTAAGTGTTATATACCTGTATTAGTAAAATAAATACCGTATATTCCCAAAAATACCCAACCTTAGAATTTTCAATGAGAATGCCACAAAAAATGTGCCACTCATGGATAAGCGAATCCACATTTTTCATTGTACTTTGCTAAAAAATTCAAAGGCCTGTTTCTCTTTGAATGAGCTTACATGCAAGGATATATTCATTTATATTCATGGGTAAATCCATGCACAGATCAATCAAAACCAATTTTGGGCTATATTTTGGCTTCTAAAATTCTTAGTTTATCTACAAATATATACAGTATTAGTCAGTAAAATGAAAAGAGATAAAATACAGCAAATAATATAACTATCTCTAGCATGAAAAAATTGGATCTCTTGCAACACTCTGTATCTAATTTCTTCAACAAGAGGCAATTTCCATCTGGTAATTTCTCTAGAGTCAGCAGTGCAAGAGCAAAAGGTAACAGAAGGCCTTTCAAAAATTCACTAGTGCTAGATTGCTGGCTTTTATGCTTCTTTGCTAAGAACTATAGCAGTCACAATGATACTCAGGCAGTCCCTGGGCTGGTAATTTGTGAAGCATTTGAGACCTTGAAGCAAGAATACACTCCAGGATTGCTCCAGGTTGCATTTTATTTATCAGTGTGATACAACCAAAGTTATAAATGCACTCATTTTCAATAGCAACTGATCCATTGCAAACTTATATAAAGTCATTGGCCTGGAATCTTTTTTATGACACATGAATTTCCATTGTTCCACATATTTTAATTTCTCCAGACTGTTCAATAAACTAAGGTGAATACAGTCATCCTCTATTATTTGCCTGATGTTAGCCTTTTCTAATGAATTGAGTTTCTCTTTAATACATACATGCATTCCTACATACATAGTGGTACCTTGGTACTCAACAGCATTGAAACTCATCAAATTTGGTACTCAACTCATTTTGATGTGAAAATGTTGTTCCGCTACTCATTGTTTGTTTTGTATTCAACACACAAGCTAGAACTTGTCAGTGTCAGCTACCTTATGACTCACTACATTATTCCTTATAGGAAAAAATTGTTTGGTACTCACTGTTTTGATACTCATTGAACCTCCTGGATATGACACATGACATATCAAACACACACACATATATTATCATCATCATCATTTTAGCCATGGTCTGTCCACTGCAGGATGAAGGCCTCTTCTGCATGTTTCCAATCAATATAGTCCTGAGCTTTCTTTTGCCAATTGGGCCTACTTGCTGATGTCCTTGATTCAACTTGTTTTAGGTCTCTTTCATAGATGCTTTTTATCAAGTGGGATCCATTCTATGACTGCCTTGGTCCACCTGCCTTCAGTTCTTGCTATTTGACCAGCTCATTTCCATTTCAATTCTTTTCTCTCACACTCACATACATACACACAATATTTAAGTCAATACCTTGACATAAGAAAGACAGATTACTCTGCTTTACTTGTGATTTCTTTTCATGTCAGGGTGGGATATGACCATTCTTTCCTTGATTGTCCAGTTGTCAGACGATAATTGCCAAAAATGCCATGGACGTTTTCTTACCCTGTCTCTTGCTTCAATGAGCCACTGTTGTCTCTGTCAGGGTTCTCTTTTTCAAATGGAGAGCCACAAATGGTGTGGAAACATGACTACAAAGTGGGTAAATAACAATACATTAAATGCAGTTAGTGTCATTAATTCCCATATGTTCAGTGTATCATTTTTGTCCCACTAAAGATTAATATTCATTTTTAACTAGCAAAGAAAGAGAATGGAAATTACCAGAATTTCTTCCTTGATGAACATTTTTGGAATTATCCAGCTAGTTGTAATAAATTACTAAGACAAGGCTGGGAAACATGCTGCCAGTGGGTATTGGGCAGACTACAAATCCCATCCTGGTTGTCTGCCAACCTTTTCCCCAGCCCCTAAAAACAATTAAACAGGTCTCTGGAATTTGTAAGACATTTATTCATAAGAATGCCTCTGAATCCTCACAGGTGTTTAAAATTCTTTATGAATGGTTCCAACCCAATGCTGTTTGAAGGAGTAAACACTTTTCTAGCAAGAAAGACAAAGGTATGCTGGCATTGGTGAAGTGGCAGTGAATAAGTTCACTAATTTGTCTGTTAAATGAATATGCTGTTGGGATCATGTCCAACCTGGCAGTCATTTTGTGAATGGTTTCATTCCTTCATTCATATATATAATATATATATATATATATATATATATATATATATATATATATATATATATATATTATTTAGTATATATACTAAATTATGAAGTTTGAGAAAGTAAAATAGTTTTAAAGTCAATTTCTTCACTGATCTTATAACCTATTGGTTTGCAGATGATTGCCTTTTTTCAAAGTAATAACTTTTTCCAATCAACACCCTCACACATTTATTATAAATATTGCAAGGCATCAGATGTTGATACAGTTATCTGACTAGATATTATACCAGCTGAATTGCTGGAGTGATTTTTCTTTAGGAGTAATTTGCAGTTGGAAGAACATGTATGATTCCTAACTGCCTTCTTTTTATTACATAACAGCTGCTTCCCAGATGAAATCTATTTGCAATCAGATCCTGCTTGATGTTAAATAAAAAATGCAGTCTGCAAAACATTACTATAATAGTTAAATTTTAACCATTGCAACAATTTTAACATCTGCACAAATATTATAGCTTGTCTAGCAATCTTTCCTTTCTGTTAATAATGCATAGACATTTGTATATCATTTAAGTATATTTTAAATTCCATATTCAACTTTATTTTTATAAACCTGTTTTAATCAAACCAAAGGGTATCATTGATTGTATAAAATATTGCTATCTCAAATTTGAATTGCAAGAGCATATAGAGAAGTTTCCAAAGGTCCTCCCAAAGTTTAACATTAAGTTAAAACCCAAACCTGATTCAATTATATCATGCTAAAAATGTGGAAAGATGTAACATACAATTTACTATTACTGGATGTCTAACTTGTACAGATATTGACAGATCAACTATTGAAAATGATACAACTGCAAAATAATTTATTTTAAAAATTGTTCCTGCCTTTCAACTAAGGATAAAGATACCATTCTTTAGTATCCTCTAAAATTTGGGTAACTAGAAATTACTATAATTTATGTTTGCTAATCCACACTTCTGTGGCGTCAACAAAATTACCGGTATATGATTTTTAAAAAACCTATTCAACTCACTCTTTTTTGTGTGTGAGAAAAGTGAAATGCTTCCTCGGCGAAATCAATTGGAGGATCAAAGGACTCAGTACATTACATTTTCTGAAAGTTGCTCACCAAATGTATTATTTCATCTCCTGAGATATACTTGAAAAAGAGAAACTCCTTCCAGTAAAACTTTACCCTGAAACAATTTTCAAGATAAATGAGGTAGTCTAATAGTTAATGGGACATTTTTAAATTGGTCAATTCTTATTCATTTGTCCATTGCAGTTTACAATATGGATGATTCTGAGATTTTTCAATGTAAGAAAACCTAATTGTGAAAAAATGTCAGTCAGGAGTTATCCTGACAGCCCCTGGGAGATGATGTGAATTGCAC